TCTAACGATTTTTAAATGTTTGACTAGAACGTTTTGTAGGACGCGGTGGTATATGCTGCTTTGCGCGCAAGAAGTGCCGCACTTTCAGCTGCCAAACTATTGCTTCCAAATAAAGTCGCTAGGAACAGCGGAGATCCAAAAAAGTAAACAAAAGTAAAAGTCTAATATCTTGAAAACCGGTGAATATTTTTCGGTGAAATTTGGTAGATATTCGTTTTCGCTCTTTCTGAACCGAGCGACATCACTTTCATGCCAATTCATAAACTTTTTTGAAGGTGGGAGGGTCCCTTTAAGAGGATAAGTACAAATATTACATTTATTCAAATATTTCGGTACTAGTACCGAAATATCTGAATAAATGTAATATTTGTACTTATCTTCTTGAACAACTCCGAAAAAAACATAAACATTACTTACATATCCTGAGGAAAAGCTTTTTAATCATGACAATCAAGTCATATCTCAGATACATTCTTTCCAAATTAAAAAAAAAAAATCATGAAAAAGCTATGAGTGGTAAACTGTGCCAAAGATTAACAAGATATCTCAAAATTTAAATCCAAATAGAATAAATTACCTCTTATTCATTGGACTAAATGACAAAGTCATAAGCAATTGTTGAGAGCTGGGAGCAACGAAAGAAAATAAAAACTGCAACATTGGAATCCTGAGCTCAACCTACATTTGGAACTTTCTTCTTGAAAGTTATCTTCTTCGAAATTTGACTTTTTCACCTGACCTGGAGCTGACCTTGGCACTAAACCTCTTAATTTGGTCTCAAACGACAGGCGACACTTCGAATTTCATGACTTTTATTACCAAAACTGGCCACAAAGAACGTTCCACGTCATTAATATGAATATGCTCACTTTTCACCATTCCTTTCGGCTTTCACCTTGACCTATATCACGTGACCACAAAATTTAAAATTCAGGATCGCTTTGATTTGTCGCGGTCCCATATAACCCAAGTCCCAACTGACTTGCACGGCACCTTGCTCACCTGCCCCTAGTGGTGAACCAAATTTGAACGCAATTGGCTCTGCCCTTCTCAAGATCTGGAAGCGACCCAACGTGCGCACGTGCGTTAACACCCAACTCTGCCACAAGGCCATGCATTGCCTGGTGGGTGCCTACTTATATGCAAGGTTTCAGTTCAGAACGCTTATCAATCGGTTCAGCAATTACGGAGACATAAGATCGTGTTAAGCATCGCGGTACCGAGCCGGGAAAGGCCGCTTAAACTGATATCTGTTTTCCGTTGAACACGGATATACTCGCTGCGCTCGCTCGTTTACCTTTCTCCCGCATACACCAACACATAGGTAATATCTCCCTCAATAAAGCTCTCTTATAATTTGGGACCAAATGCGAGGCAGGTCAGCCAACCACTCTCCATTCGGTTGTCAAAAGATCACAATGGCCAGCACCAGCGAAAACTAAAAATGTCACGACTTACGACTGTATGTAATGAAATGGTAACAGTGAGAAGAGAGGTATCAAGAAAATGAAAAGAGCAATGGAGAGTGAGAGAAAATTGCTAATTTAAGCATAAGCTTTAATTTGTGCTCACAAAATATAACAAATAAGATAATTCAAAAACAAGAAACAAAATAAATGCTTAACCTTGTGTAATATTTTTTCCTCAAATTTTAATGCTCCGAAGAAACCATGTGACTCGAAATGAAAACAACAAAGTGAATCTACGTTCCAGCATTTCATTTTTTTCCAAATCCATTGCAGCTTTAAATGGAAGCAGAATAAATCAACCAGCAACATATACCAAAGAACATAAAAACAACTCAAGCAGCAAAACTGAAAACTCAGTGACATACAGAGAGCTCTTAAAGTGCAGCTCAAGACATTGAGCATCAAGAGAGTCTTACAAACAAAAGCAAGTTGAGCAAGATGAGATCAAACAACAAACAGAGAGGGAAGACAGCCAGAGGAGGGAGAGGGAGAGGGAGAGAGAGAGAGAGGGAGAGGGAGAGGGAGAGGGAGAGGGAGAGAGAGAGGGAGAGGGAGAGAGAGAGGGAGAGGGAGAGGGGGAGGGAGAGGGGGAGGGAGAGGGGGAGGGAGAGGGAGAGGGAGAGGGGGAGAGGGGGGAGAGGGGGAGAGAGAGAGAGAGAGAGAGAGAGAGAGAGAGAGAGAGAGAGAGAGAGAGAGAGAGACAGAGAGAGAGACAGAGAGAGAGAGAGACAGAGAGAGAGAGAGAGACAGAGAGACAGAGAGACAGAGAGACAGAGACAGAGAGACAGAGAGACAGAGAGACAGAGAGACAGAGAGACAGAGAGACAGAGAGACATCAATCTTATCAAGGTCCATTGCTTGCTACTTGAGTGATGAGGAGTGAGGAACCCAGCCCCCAGCAACCTATGTACAGTCCACAGCAGAAGTAATGTGTGGTTTCAGTCATGGGTATGTTCTGCTTCTGAAGCCTAGGAACGATTAGCCAGACTGCAACGAGACTTTAAATGTAGCTTACATGTATATTCACCCTTGCAGCGACAACTTTGTCTATTGACGTCTTCTTTTCAATCAGTCCGCATTTAAAAATCGTCGGTCAAAGCCATCCGTCGAGATTGGTAAAACCACACATTACTTTAGCGGTGGGCTGTACCTCCCTAAGTGTTGATTTTAAAAAGCTTTCAATAGTCAACTATGACAGTCAGAAGGTGGCAATAAATTATGGCATCATAGTTCTAATGCATTGGTCTGGAGCCTCTACAATGACATCAATCGTCAAAGTTTGTCATATTTAAGCAACTGCCCATGCTCAAAATAGGATGTAAGGTCAGCGGCAAACATATTTATTCATGGTTTGCATTACTTAAACTTAACTAAGTTTTACAACATCGTAGATATTTAATAACTATAGGAGAGACACCAGTAAGCATATAGGCTGGCCTGGTATGGACATGAAAATTACCATATACCTGCTGTGAATAGGTATGCAGTACAATCATAATTTAGTAACATTAGCAAACATCTAGACAAACACTGGGAGAACTTGCTGTACCAAACCAGAACCGACTAAACTACAAGCCAATGAGCAGGAAATCCACAGGCTTCCTTTTCCTAGCCTATCACCTTTCCTGTAATTCAGTAAGTGACAAGTGACAAACATACTCTATAGCTAAACTCTGGTGAAACTTAATGGGCTATATGCATGGTGCTTTTGCCAGTTTTCTTCTATTTGAATCTTAGAATCCATTAACAACTTTGAGCTCATTATTATACATAATGAGTTATGCTACTTGCTTGCACCTATTTTGATTCACAATCAAAGAACAATTCTACATCAACATCTGATAATGGTAAAGGACAATGCATTATATAACAGAGAGGTAAAATTAATGGTTCCTTTTATTGTTAAAAAAACACAGATTTTACCATAACAACAATTACTGCAGAAGTAGTTTGTACCTTATGACCATTGAAGATGCAAAAAAGGCAATTTTCAGGGCATGAAGCTGAGTCTAAATGACTTCATCATTCAATTAATCTGTAAGTGTTGATATCTTAATTTTTACAAAATAAGTGCTGTGATATAATCACAGCAATCCTTTTTTATCCACTATATAATTTATCCATGTTATTCATTATAGAAATGTCAATAACAAATGACAGATCAGCCAAAACATTTTTTTTAATCAATCCCAGCAGGTCACAAAACAGACATCTCAAAATGGCGTACTTTTCAACTCCAAAAATAAGCACTTGTGTAATGTTTGGTCAAATTACCTACCTGCCTCCTGAGAACTTAATTACCTTGACTATTATCATTTATTATTGTGCTGCATCATTACTGACACAGCTCAGACACAGAGTTGGAAAGCAACCCTTCTTGTTTGTTAATTAGAACTTTAGGGCGTGCCAAGTATTATGGTCATTTTGCACCCATAAAAGCAGCCCTACATATCTAACTAACAGAGAAGACAAGCAACTTATCACTTTTTTTGTGTGAATGATCATCTGGCAATTATTTCATTGAGAGGTTGTCAAACAGGATGATAAAGTGAGCTGCCACAAGAACTGTTAAGCAGATTCATAATAGAGAGATGTAACAGTGTTGTCGGTATATGTCAAGTTTAGGTCCTAACTACAATTGTGACGCTGTTGATACAAGTATGAAACAGCAAAAATTTTAGGTTTTAGGTTAGGTTAGGTTGTAGGTTTGTAGGTTTTAGGTTGTAGGTAGGTAGGTTTATAGGTTAGGTTAGGTTAGGGTAGGTTTGTAGGTTGTAGGTTGGTAGGTTATAGGTAAGGGTATAAGTAAGCCTGGCGTCCCAGGAAGATGCCAGATACCATTGTAGGTTGGTTTGTTTGTAGGTTTGTAGGGTAGGTTGTAGGTTAGTAGGTTGTAGGTTTGTAGGTTATAGGTTGTAGGTTTGTAGGTTGTAGGTTTGTAGGTTGTAGGTTGTAGGTAAGGTTAGGTCAGGTTTGGTTAGGTTTGTTTTGGTATATAGGTATCTCTGTCGTCCCAATCTGGTATCTTCCTGGGACGCCAGGCTTACTAATACCTAGGTAAGTAGGTAAGGTTAGGTCAGGTTTGATTATGTTTTTTCTTTTATTTGCGAGACAAATGAGTATCATTTTTGGATTCAGGATGTCAAATAATATAAGAATATGACAAATTTATCAATGAAATCTTCTTAGGACTTAAACTTGACATTTACCATGTTGTCTACCCTAAGGGGTCCACGGACACCATTAGACTTGACAGTGGTGATGCCCCAAGACCACCAGGATCAAGCGGTGACATAGCCCACCCCAATACATAACAAGATACACATATATTTTAACAGTCTTTGCAGGAACCCTTCTTGCTAGCAAAGGTTTACAACATCACATCATGTAGATGGTTCAACATCAGATGATCAACGCAGCGGACCCATGTCGGCAATGAATGAGAGCCCACAGCCTGGTAGCAGTAGCTATAGAGTTAATACAACATAATCACAAGCATTCAATTGTGAGGACAGATGGTGGAAAACGTACCTCGATGACTAGTCTGACAAAAGCATTCCTATAGGACGTCTTCCGCGATTCTTCACTTTCGGCTAGCGCGCCACCCACGCCGCAAGACGTAGCTGGAGCGGATCCTCGTCCTGCGGTCGATCACCACAGGAGACGGTTCTGCCCAATGACAAGAGCACTATGATGAGACAGAAGTAAATTATCCGTAAAATATGATGAATTCGACTCCGAAGAAACAATATCAGATTCTACGATAAAAGTTTTCGTGCCCCTCGACCCACGCCGAAAAATATTAATGAACAATGGCGGACGCAAACAGTTAGTCTTGAAAGCTCTGAGGAGGAAGAGACCCTATGACAGTAAATGACGTCATAGAAATCCGAAATATTTACGGGCCTGATTTTGATTGGTCGAAATAAGTCCATATCTCAACGTGATTCGCTAGGCTATTGACGTCATCAGTCGCAAGTAAATGTTGTAACGGTCATGGGCAGGAATTTTTGCCTTGGCGATATGGTGCATGGCCTTTGGCTACCGCGTAAATTTTTCGTCTAGAGGTCTAGCATGGGTCTGGCCGTGGATTGAAGCGTTGACCTATCATTTCTTTTCTTTTTCAACCATTTTCTGTTATTGAAAGAGGGTAGCATTTGAGATACTCTCTGATGCTCTGAAGAAATTCATTAGCATCAGTACCACCAGTTTATTCTTGGCGGATTACTTGGCGAATCATGATGACCCCTATCGGGTGCGGTTATTTTTTCTCATCTTAGTTTGCTATTTTGGCGCGATTTTGACAATTTCTGGCGCATTCCACTTATTTACTTTAGCGGCCATAGGGCAATGGTTTACTAACGGGAGATGTGGTGAATTACAGCAGCAATACTTGAAATATAAGGAAGAAGTGAAGCAATTATGATACCTATTATTTTTATAATGACAGAAGGAACGTGGAAGAAAAAAAACATTTTGTGCAGCTGTGAAAACAAGGAAATAGAATGAAAGAAGGGCTGCTACTTTTCATGCTCCCGAAACCAGCCATCTCATCAATGCATCATCATAGCATGGTAATGATAGTTAAAGTTTATGTTAAAAAAGAATAGAAGGAGCTGCTGCAAAGGTCTTTGTGATGCCTCAAATCTGTTAAGTCAAGTCAGGCATGCTCTTACAGACTGAACGTTCAAGTTACGAGACCCCATCATACTCCAGTGGCTGCATGGTGCTTGAGCTTGTCAAATACTTAAATGTTTTGCTTAGAAATTGTTTGCTTTATTGGTTTCTTGAGTTTCACTAGATAAAGATACAAGGTTGGCTGATTTGGTGTTAGTTATCCATATTAAAGTGCACTGTTTGTGACAAGATTATGGAAATTGTAACCTCAATAATGACATTTCATGCTGTCAAAGCTATGATATGTCATAGCTTGTTGCCTTGAGTTTGATAGCAGGCAAACATGGATTGAAGCTGTTTTCTAAAAAAAAACACTGCTTTTTAGTAACTTTCACCCCATAATTTGTGTTTATTCAATCTCAGAATGGGAGCAAGGCTGAATCACAATTATCTTTTGGGAAATGCTCTACAAAACTGCATTGCTTTTATTTCTGTGGCATAATTTTGTACCTAATTCAAAGACTCTCTGGTGTACTTTGTAAGATTGTTTGAACTTCTACTTTCTGACCTGCTTGGTGCCACTAAATCCTGCAACCTATTTGGCTTATTTACCCATCTCTCTTGCCATTCCTACACATTTCATGTCAGTCTATTGCATAAATATTGTGTAGTTAACATACATCATGATATACAAATGAATGGTACCTATAGAAGCTCGATGTGGGTAAATGAGAACCAATGAACCTATGTTTTTTACAATGGTATAAAGTCCTCTTGTCACGGCCATGGATATCACAGAAGATTTTGCTGAACTGCGCAAGAGAATCCTGTGCAAGGAAATGTTTTGCATGATTTAGCTTAACAGCATACATTTTATTTTCCCAGTTGCATTGGAGCTCTGCTGGAGTTTGCTGATGACAGGATTCTGAAGGGCTGAAGCTGGTAGCTCTGGCAGGAGTCCAGTGTCCACCAGCTCAAGATCCGACGCCGCCGCGTCGCCGCCGTGCGGCACTCCGCGTAGACGGGGACGGCGGTCATGATTGAAGACACCGCATTTCCCGCCTGGACTGTCCGGTCGGAGACTGGTAATCCCTCCGGTGAGCCGCACACCGTGGAGCTACTGCACCGCGCGTGTCCACCCGCAGCGCAGTGCCAGCAACGGTGCCGTGAGTGCGACATCTGCGTGCATATGACGCAGTGCGACTGTCACGACTCGCGGCTCATTGTTCTGTCAGTGTGACAGTGCGACTCGCGCTCGTTTTAGCGTGGTGCTCTGTTGTATATAACCACCTTGATGGAGACCTATGTGCTGCCGCTTGAGTTTCAATGTACAGTTTTATGCATCAAACTAGCGTAAGTAAATGGCTGTCAGAGGTCAATTTGAAGCGCAATTAGTACCCATAACCCAGCTGGGTTGAGCGAGTCATGTGACTAGTCCCGATGAACGTACTGTTTCGATGTCGTCAGTCGTAGACTTTTGTAAACCATTCGTTTCGGAGCTCTGTGTTGTGATGTTCGGGACCGCAGTTGTTTGAGCAGTTTGCTTTATGCGTCGTACGCTGACAGAACGCTGGTCGTACACAAGTCATGTGTTTCCTTTCGCCCCTAATGTGTTACTGCGGTACCTATGCAGTTGTAATGTGTCTCTATACACTAACTGGTCGCACTTCGTTGTGAAAATGACACTAGCTGGTCGCACTTGGTTTCAAACTGCGCTTGGAAGTCGTGCAATTTTATTTGCATTTTGCAATGCAATTTTACTGCCGTTACCGTATTGGTAGATTGAGATAGTGTCAGAAGTTGGCCATTTGATGCGTTGTCACTTGTCAGACGTTGTTGCCTTAGTACTGACGAATTGATGGGCCGCGTTTGTGTTCCTGTTAAGAAACGGATCTCAATATAAGGTGATTCAGAGGTAGGAACCTGAATGCATTCGTTCAGACTTTTCATTTTATAGGGATGCACTGCTTCATGAGCAAGAACGAGCATGGCTCTGGTTGAGCGAAGCGCAATCGATATTTGTTATCGTGGTTGTAGACTGTGGCCACATTTACATCACTATTCAACTCCACGCACCAGCATTATTTAAACTGCTTGAACCTATACTTCATTTCGCTAAATTTCGGGGTCGTCAACCTACGGTCCGTGGCCGTTACGTTTGGCCAATAACTAGAATTTATGCATATTACCTGGTTCATATGATCACAGCATGATGCCCCGGACAATTTTATTTGACTCACTGATAATGAGTGTGTCCCAGTACCGCACAAACTGAGGCTGAAACTGGGCAACTCGCTTTTCGAGGTACAAGTTCATTATCTTCAGATTTTATGGTATGGACTATGGTAATCGAAGAAAATGGTCAGCGTTAGCAGTGCTAATCGGGTATTATGAGCTTTCAGTTATTTCAATATTCGTTTAGGCTATTGTTCTTGTGGTATCTCCTGTCAATTTCACGCGGAACATACAGTATTATCTTATACAATCGCGGTAACTACATATTTTCTGCCGGTAGTACTGTTGTTATCATTGATTCGTAATATTTCACTACGAGCGTGGCTCGATTCACATTGTCTACGAGCGTGGCTCGATTCACATTGTTATGATATTGGCATTCGAGATTTAAGAATGAAAATCTTTTAATGCATTCCAATTCCATAAAAATGCCAATATGCAAAAAAAAGTTATAAAAATTGCAGCAGTTTTGTGAATCAAAAATAGCTGTAAAATAGGCCTGTATAACTTCAACAACAGTGCGCCGAGAAACGTCTAAAAACGCGTAAACAAAAACTAAGATGTAAAAAAATAACTGCACCCCCCCTATCATACCCCCATGGGCATACCCCCATGCATTCCTAGGCGCAGCTTGGGGCGCAACGGGCTAATGTTAAAATGCCCAAATCAAAGGTGGGCACGGTGCCCCGGTGCCCTACCCGTTCGACCCGTTCCGCCGCCTATGCTTATTGCTTACCAGTTCTCTATATACCGTGGCTTACCTTACCGAGGGGCGTCGACGCGTAAGGAAAACTGGTCCGACTTTTTCTCGGGGGGGCCCCACCGGTGGGGGCCCCCGTGGCCGCAGCAGGGCCCCCCGAGAGCCCCAACAGGGGCCCCCCGCGGCCGCAGAAGGGGACCCCGCGGGCCGCAGCAGGGCCCCGCGGTGTCTAGCAGGGCCCCAGAGGCGCAGCAGGGCCCCCGCGGTCTCTAGCAGGGCCCCCCGAGCCGCAGTAGGGCCCCCGCGGTCTGCAGCAGGGGCCCCCGCGAGCCACAGCAGGGCACCGCCTAGTCGAAAAAGTGGTCCGACTAGTCGGAAAAGTCGGACCGGTGTCGACGCCCCTATGACGGGATAAGAGGCCACTCGGCCTAATGGACCACGCTCGCATCGAATTCGAGTGAAAGGCAACCCAGCCAGCAATTCGCTTGGGCTGAACTGTGGCAAACGTCGGGCAGCTTGGGCTTAGCTTGGGTTTGCCCACTTTGATCAAAACCAATGTATTTTTTACTAGGGCTGAGCTGGGGCATGCCGCAGCTATGCCCACGTGCGGAAAGCAGTAGCTCAGCCCGACATCTGCCCGCGCATCCAAAACAGGCCTAACTTGGGCGGAGCGCGGGCTGATCAAGCTGGCTGTGTCCTTCGGCTAACTGGAGTAAAGCCGGAGCTTAGCCATACTTGTTCGGCTGTTCGCGCATGCGCAGTTCTGCGCCAATCATGTGCAGCGTTTGTGACAGTCTGCGCGCTGTGCGACGAAACGACACACCGGTGTTGGGGCATTTGGTGGTTGATGTTTGGGCGCGTGTGGCAGCGCGAAGAAGGGATAGTGCTCACTGCTCTTATCAAGTGGACTGGCATGGAGTTTTACGGTAGGTAAGTGTATTGAATGGTGCGCTTGATCGTATGTAAACGTCATGACTTTGACTGAGTTTCAGACCATCAAACATGAAGCTGAATAGCTGTTCAGCCTGGCGACTTATACCCTCGCTCAGAAAAGCCGCATTCCGTGCCTTTATATCTTTGTGAAATACCAGCACTTCAGAGGCCAGTTTTACCAACAGAAAAATAGCAGCCCGGCGCAATTTTTCTGTCAAAAACCAGCCGACGAGTTTCACCAACCAGGCGAAAAAATATCCGCCGGCGTGAAAAAATATCAGCCAGAAAAATTGCCAACGAGTTTCACCCAGCCCCCGTTCACGA